GACTGGCCATGTGGGCCCAGAGGTAAACCCATGTGGAGTGGATTTTGTGGGCTATAATGAGTTGTATATGGCTAGATGGCTTGGGTCAGTTGGAACTTGGTTGCTTTATAGATATTTTAAGCAAGTCTCCCCCACCCCTACTTCTACCCCAAACAAACTCATTCTTGAATGACTATTTTTAAATTCTAAGCAAAAGCTTGAAATAGTTTGTGAGTTTTAGACTTGTATTTGTTCACTTAAACATTTATTGACTGCCTAGCTTTGTGGCAGGCGCTAAGCAATATTTTAAAATCTGTTTTCAGAGATATTAAAGTAGGTTTGACTCTCCTTTGCACAGAACTGAATGACTTCATCATTCAACTTGACGAAGAAGTCGAGGGTATGCAGAGCACCATTCTAGTTCTTCAGCAACAGCTGAAAGAGACGCGTCAGCAGTTGGCTCAGTACCAACAACAGCAGTCTCAGGCTCCAGCCCCAAGTACCAGCAGGACTACACCTTCCGAGCCTGGAGGACAGGCGGAGGCCACAGGTAAAGACTGCAGCCGGCTGGCCAACGGACCAAGTAATGGCAGTTCCTCCCGGCAGAGGACGTCTGGGTCTGGATTTCACAGGGAGGGGGACACAGCCGAAGATGACTTTCCTTCTTCTCCAGGGAATGGGAATAAGGCCTCCAACAGCTCAGAGGAGAGAACTGGCAGAGGAGGTGGTAGTTACGTAAATCAACTCAGTGCGGGGTATGAAAGTGTAGACTCTCCCACGGGCAGTGAAAACTCTCTCACACACCACTCAAATGACACAGACTCCAATCCTGACCCTCAAGAGGAGAAAACAGTGAGTGGGAAAGGTAACCGAACTACGGGTTCCCGCCACGTTCAGAATGGCTTGGACTCAAGTGTAAATGTACAGGGTTCAGTTTTGTAATATTTTTTCCAACAAATTTTTATACAGTGTCATTTAATTTGGGAGAGGATACTGTCCGGAAAATTAACGCATACTTTTGTCACAATTTGCCTTTTTTTTTGTGGGTGTGGTGTTTTTTTTCTTTTCCTCCCCACCCCTCCCCCCCCTTTGCTTCAATACCTCTGCCACTTTGGAAATTGTAACAGTTAATTACCTTGAATGTTGCTAAAAGGACATTTTGTGTAGGGTCAAGTTATTTTTATATGAGTTAATGTGAAGTTGTAAATGGAAATCTTTCCCTAAAGTATAACACAATGATGTCTGTATAAATCTGTGTCTATCCTAGAACCTGTGCTGTGTACGGGCATTCTTCCTCATGCTGTTATTATACTTCTGCACCATTCAGACTTGTTAGAGTAGATGTGGGTTTATGACTGCCAAGTTTGCCCAGTACAGTAGTTTTTCACTAAAAGCTGGACTTGCTGATGGAGTCCTAGAGTAGTTTCAGTGTTAGATACAGTTTTTTCCACCTTACATCTGTGCATTTTCTCTTTAGGTGACTGAATGTTTAAGAAATTTGTGTGCATAGTTACTCAGTTTTTATGAACTGTTGTATCCTGTTAATGCATATTGCTCTGTGACTCCAGTATATCTTACCTGTACTGACCAAACCTAAATAAAGATTTTTATTGTAACCGCTTGCATTAGTTTTTTTTTTATTTGCGTGTGTGTTTTTAGCATTTATTTTCATTGACTTGCTGAAGTTCTACTCCTAATTCTTCAACATACCACAAAAGTGAAACTTCAGTTCATGCATTGATTTTGATTGTGCACTTAATTTTTAAAAAATGTATTCTTTGGGGTGCTTGGCTGACAGTTGCTGGAGCATGTGACTCCTAGATCTCAGGGTTGTGTGTTTGAGCCCCACACTGGGTATAGATTTTACTTAAATAAAATCTTTAAAAAAATAATATGCATTGTTTTGCAAGATAAACGTGGAATTTAGGACTGTAAATGTTTTTTTCTAACTTGTAAGAATAATTATTATAAAATATTCACATATACAGAAAAATTTTATAAAGAAGAAAATCAGTTCCTTAAGTGTGTGTTAGGTTTTAGTTGAGAAGTAGACTTTGTTTTTGTGAGATGATTTCAGGTCACTAGGGTATCTGTGTAGTAGTCAGTGATGTTTGTTTGAAAACACTGGTCACTGCTACTGATACTAATAATATGTCTACTGATATACCAAAGTCTGTGTTATAGAATGGTTTTAGAAGCTATAGTTTTTTACATATATGTGGTTGAGAGGAAATGTGATTTCCGATGAAAGCAAGATACTGTTTTAGATATTTCTTGTAATACAATCAAGGAACCTCAGAAGTGGAATTAGGACACCCGAAACTGAGGTACAGCTTATTTGAATATAAGCCCTGTGTTTTTGCTCGCTCAACTGGCATACAGGTGTATCTTGTCTTCATTGGTGTATTTAAGATACTACACTTTGTGACTTTTGGTTAGCCTTTTGTGCGGTCTCAAATCCTACACAATTTTAAATGCATTTACTTAGGATAATTTGACATTTTGGTGTATATTAAAATACTAGGGGCACCTGGGTGGTTCACTCGGTTAAGCGTCCGACTTCAGGTCATGCTCTCACAGCTTGTGGGCTCGAGCCCCGCATCGGGCTCTCTGGTGACAGCTCAGAGTCTGGAGCTGCTTCGGATTCTGTGCCTGGCTCGCTCTCTCTGCCCCTCCCCAGTTCACGCTCTTTCTCTCAAAAATAAATGTAAAAAAAAAAATTTTTTTTTTTAATACTAAATATTCCCTGGATTTATGAAGTACTTTTGACTTCGGTTTTTCTTAGGTACTTTTTTAACCTTGCCACTTTAAAGAAAAATGGGATTTCCTTTGAGGTTCTGTAATCCTTGGCGTATAATAGGAAATAAACTTTTCAACTAGTGATATAATTTTATAACTAAATTTAATATAGAACGGTTATATGTCATTACCAATTTTCAAGTTTCTGATGCATCTGTGTTCGGCAGAGAGAACTTGGGATTTGCAAAGTCAGTATTTTTCATTTTGGGGATTGGATGCTGTATTTGCTGGTATGACTATGATAAGAGAGGTGATAAGTCTTAATCCAGTTCAGAGCATGGCCTGGCCTCTGGAACTAACGGGTTTGAATCCTGGCTTTACCACTTACTACCTGCTTCAAGACTTGGGAAAACTGCATTCTCTTTCCGTGGCTCAATTTTTGCCTGTAAGTTAAATGAGCTAGGGGCACCTGGGTGGCTCAGTCGGTTAAGCGTCCAACTTCGGCTCAGGTCATGATCTCACGGTTCGTGAGTTCGAGCCCTGCGTCGGGCTCTGGGCTGACAGCTCCGAGCCTGGAGCCCGCTTCAGATTCTGTGTCTCCCTCTGCCTCTCCACTGCTTGCACTCTGTCTCTCACAAGGTCTCAAAAATAAACATTAAAAAAAAAATTTTTTTAAAACAGCTAATACACGTAAAGTGCTTACAGTGGTGCCAAGTACATGGTGCCTTCTCAGTAAATGTTAGTCCTAAGTTCTCGAAGTTCCAGTTCTGATGACAGACCGTTTCCCTTGATGAGGTTATTTCAAATATAAATTTGTATTTGGATCGTTCCCACTGAAAGAGAAAAGATCATAGCTTACACTAAGTGTGTAAGGTCTTGGGTGTAAAGGTGAAAAGCTGCCTGTGTTTGCTTCCTGTTAAAAGTGTCTTCCTTCTCTTTAAGTGGGATAAGTGGGAGTACTGAAGCGTTTTTTTAGACAACCTCCAGTAATGGAGAATCCGCCATTTGGCAAAAACTCGAGTACTGCCAAAGAAGGTTAATTGTAAGTGCAGTCAACTTGGATAAAGCTGAAGGTTAGTAAAGTTTTGATGTCTCTACTTTAGCATCACTCTGAAGAGAATTGTACTATGAAGGTAGCAAAAAGTGCCTGAACGTTTTTTTGATACCTGTTGAGTACTTACATGCCAGAAACTGACAAGTAATTTTTTTAATCTGCATTTTTATCATCACCCCTATGAGAAGAGGCAACTGGTCATTTTACAGAACAAGAAATGGGGTTTGAAAGGGTTAAGTGGTCACCCAAGGATTGGTAGGTATTAGATCTGCCCCGTAGGGCGCTGTCATCGAAGCTTCCTGGGCAATACCCACCTCCAAAGCTAGGAGCAGAAGTTTGTCTGATTCCTAAAGCCTGGGCTTGGGGCTGTGTCATCCTGCTAGTCCTCTTGGGTGGGAGAAGGAGCTGTGCTTGAGCGGAGGGTGATGGTTCCCAAGTGGTCAGGCTGCTGTGTCAGGTATGTAGGAGCAGGCAACAACCACAGGACCCAGCAATGCACTGATGGTGAAAATACAAATTATAAAGATTTGTAGTATGTAGTTGAAGACACTGGCTGAAGTAAGAGGGTTTCATTAAGAATAGTCTTTTAGAAGTGGCTAACATGTCTTTTGAAGGTGATACCAGTTTGTGGACAAGAGGAACGAAAACATTTCGCAAAGGTCTGGCATTGTTGGAAGTGTACCAGTTGCCACCTGCTCACAGAAGTTTCCGTGGACACTGCTGCTGGGAGAACAGAAATGTCACAGCGCTTGGTACAGAGGGCTCACTTCCTTCTCTTGGCCTTGGCTGCAGTTGACAAAACTGACCACTCCAGTTTCTGGGACATTTCTGCAAACATCATGCGAAGGCATTCTTTCTCTCAGATACTCCTTATTTCTCATTCGTAGCAGTTTGTCCTCTAGACCAGTCTTTACCCCCCTGCTCTTCTCTGACGACACTTTCTTAGGAGTTCATTTATCCCTGTGGTCATAATGAACCCTTCTCACAATCCTGGATAATGTCATCACCTTTGGTCTGGAGCCACCATGGAGGAGTTGTGCCGAGAAAGAATTGAGTCACCCCTGTTGCAGAGTGCATGGCAAATGAGCTGTGGCCAATCTGCAGTGGTGGTTCACTGCCCCCTTCAGACCAACTGGGGAGCTTGCTACAGGGGAGGTTTGGGGGTTCTGCCCTCTAGCTTAAATCTGGCCTGCACTCCTGCAACCCTCTTTGTGAAACATCATCAAGAATGGCTTCAAGGCCCCTTCAGGAGAAACTGGCTGAGGAGCGCTGCTGTAGCAGTGGTCCCTCGCTCACACGTGGAGATTATGGTGGCTACCCACCCATTCCTCACCAGCCCAGGTAGCGTATGATCCTTGATCTAGATGCAATTTTTAAAATGATTCTCTTGCTCTCCTTTTGCCTATTCATTATTCTTAGTTCCTATCCTGGTCCATGCAAAGCTCTGAGTAGAGCTTGATGCGCAACTATAATGAGGACTCCCCTGAAAACAGGTGCTGTGTGGCGCCTCAACAGAAGCAAGCAATTACCCTCTCAATTTTTGCTCTTAACTTGGTTCTTGATAGAGCCTTCAGGTGGGAAACAGCTGGATACATTCCTTGCATCCAGAAGAATATATTCATATTCATTCACATGTTTAGGCACGGGACATAAAGAATCTATTCACTCATATAGAATGCCTGTAATGTGTTAGGACCTGTGCATAAAGCAATATAACAAGATGATCTGTAAAGCTTATGTAGTCTAGTACAGGCGACAGATGAAACTAGGAGTTTTAACATCTGGTAAGAAGATAAGTTAGGTAGATGATGTCAAGGGGCACCAAATGCTAGGAAAGATAGGAAAGGTTCCTGAAAGAAGTGATGTCTACATGGAGTGCTCCTCCCCAGTAGGTGGGTTAACAAAAGATAGGTGCACTGCTAATTGAGATTTTCAATAGAGAAGAAACAATAAAGGCTGGAAGAGGTAGATATTATCATGAGTTTGGTTTAGATGTGTTAAATTTGATGGGCTTATATGAGCTTTTAATGGAGAGGGCATCTGCTCAGGAGACAACTAGGTTAGAGAGAGAGATTTCACTATGGTCTGCTTATGGTAGTAACTGAAGCCACGGGAGTGACTGGCATTACCCAGAGTGCTAGTGCAAAGTCATAGCCTCAGGGGAATATATTAAGGGGCGGTCAAAGTAAGTCCACAAAGGAGACTGGGTAGCCAGAGATGTAAGAAGACACTGGGATAGAACAGAGTATGAAGCCAAGGGACAGGCTCCATACATTTCTTGGACTCACATGTTTGAGGACAGGGAACACATTTCAGACAGGAGGATCTTAGATTTGCTGCTGAGTTCTTAGGGAGGACTGCTGATTCCATCATGATTCCAGACTAAGGATTTCTCCCGAAGGAAACGGTGTTATCCAAGCTTTTCCTACCTTACCTGTGGGGTCTGTGCTCCAGCTATTTTCTTCTCTGGTTCGTTTGGCCCACTTACATACCTTTGCAAGGCCTTAATGTAGATTCCCAGGATCTAAGAAGTATTTCATCTACTTGAAAACTCTTCAGGATTCTCCAGGCTTGGCAGCAGTTTCCCTTCCACAACATTGTGACAAAGTCCTCTTGCCCCCTTGTTCTCAACAGGCTGCACTACTTCCCTAGAAACCCCTTTCCTTCCTGCCATATTTAGGTTGTTTCTCTTTGATTCCTCAAACTTCTAAAAAAAAAAAAAAAAAAAA